TCCTATGATGTGAAGTGACCTATTCTGGTCCATTTCAGTGCAACGATTCCCAGAATAGCAATGTTCAATTTTGACGTTTGTGCTCTGACAACATAATGGTTAGGGTTCCAAAATTAAATATACCAATAGTAATACATACTGTACCTTTGTAGCTTCAAACTTTCCTTTTGCTTCTGGCCAGATCAACACCTTGACATCCTTTAGATTTTAATTCACTTACCTCATAAATGCCAGTGCTATTTCTACATGACCGCCTCTCCTCCCCAGTAGCCTTATAACCTGGTGGGGGAATCATTTACTGGCATCATGTTGACACTGTCCAGATTGTGAATATCCATTTTGTTTTCTTGCAGAATACTGGAATGGATTGTCATGTTCTTCTCCAGTGGATCATATTTAGTCTGGCCTCTCATCTATGAACTATCTGACACAGATGACCCTTCTGGGAATCTACAATCCCAAGAGTACCACTCATTTGCACACAATCCCTCCCCATAGATGTAGAACCTACAGTTGATGGTGTGTAAGGCCAGTGAGCAAACTGGGCTTCATGTTACACCTTCTATGTTATGCCCATCCCTCCCTACATGAATGTTTCTTGGTTCCATTCTGAAGAAAATTTTGGGAAACTCAGTTTCCAATAAGGCCACATATTCAAGAAAGGATTCTAACTCAGACACTTCTTTGAGTTTTGTCTCTCCCTTCTCACCACATCAAGTCTTTATAGCATTTTAAAACCCAACTGACAGGAAAAAAGACCTTTTTTATTTTAATTTGTTTACAAATCATCAAACTTCAGCTATCATAAATTCTCCTCAATGGCACATGATACTTGGGTCCCTCATAATTAGATGCTCTATCCTTCCTCTTTGGATAATTCTATGCAACAAATCTTTGGGTTGGATCAAATATGCTGAATGAATGAAAAGATTCCTTTGATTTGCAGATTCCAATTCTCCTTTCACCCATGCTTGGAGAAGGGGAAAATGAAAAGAAAAAGAAAAAGAAAAAGAAAGCCATATTGTTCATTTTCTCCACAAACAGAAGAACAGCAAAATTCTAGGATCAAATCAGGATTCAACTTACTGAATTAGAATCAGATTAGTATCTGAAGAAGTTTTGCTTGCCCTGGGAAAAGGAGCTCTGGAAGTGATATTTACTATTTCTTGTTTACCTCAAAGCTCATCTGCCTATTGAAAAACTAGAGAATGAAGAGACTGTCCTGAGAATCATAAGAATCAAATGCTATAGAGAAAATGAATAATGGTGAGACCATTTTCAGGACCCATTCCCCAGCATGGAGCCTCCACCACATCCTGATGCCTTCTAAGATCAGAAGGACCCTTTGAGTTCAGGAAATGGCCACTCTGGATCCATCCTAAACTGCGTTGTTTAAAAACAAGGTTTATTTTTCTCTCCCCTTTTCGTCATCTCCTTGCTAACATCCTGTAGTTGAATTTCAAGGTAACAGGCAAAACCAAATGTGGCCACAGTAAAGAGCAATATATTCCTATTGTGAACTTTCACAGCACTCTTATTGCAGAATTTATGTCAGCTCTGTGTGAAACTGGGAAGCCTCTATTTGTACACATTCCATGTCCTGCAGTTTTAATCCCCATATTTGTTTCAGGAGCTGTATGTGTGCGTATGTGTGTGTGTGTGTTTGACTCTTCTCTAATTCCTTATTACTAAATATCTGCACAAGAAACAGGAATTCAGCAAATTCTTGAGAGAGCTTGTTCCTTCTGCTGCCTTCTGTGTTGCTGGCATCTCAGCATAATCTTTTTGCTTCTACTGTCACAGCCAGTGCTGGTGCATGAGAAAGACTCATTTGTCAGAAAGAAAGGATTATGATTTTAAATATTGATTCAGATGGGGGGAGGAGGCAGCAGGTGGGAAGAGGGAGAAAGCAACTCTGGGGAAAGCGGATCG